AAGGCCCAACCTGCTTTAATTTTTAGGAATGCTCTTCAAGCACAAGGTTTGGAAGCAGCCAGTGAGACTCACATTTCAGAAGGACATCAATGGTCTGATAAAGACACAGCACTTTCAAGCAGGCTGCTGGACTGAGGAGGGTATTTGAAAGCTGTCACCATGCAGTTCTGGCAGAAGTGCAAAATGAAATGCAATGTGGTAGAACTGGGAGCAGTCCCAGGTTTTTATTATTCATTCCTTTCCAGCTTTCTGATGTCTCCTTGCTCTTTTAGCATAGTTCTAATATCTCATTTTCTTTTAATACAATAGAGATCATAAAATAATATTTCAGCCTTCTGAAAGGTGGAGTCAAGATTCTCGTCTCTTCCCTCGTCCTGGGGACCCTCAGACACCACCAGAATCACTGGCTTGAGCGGGTCTGGGCAGCACCGAACAAAATGAAATAAAAAGCTTTAAAAATGGAAAAATTAAAAATAAAAATTAAATTAAATTAACAAAATTAATTTAAATTAAATGAAAAACAAAACAAAAAAAAACCTGTAAAGTGCCGTAAAAGTTTCATAAAAGGTAGTGCCGTAATGCAAGACCCTCACACACCACCACAATCACCAACTTGAGTTGGTCTGGACAGCACCAAATAAAATAAAATGAAAAGCTTTAAAATTAGAAAAACTGAAAATACAAATTAAATAAAAAATAAAATTAAAATATAAAAGAAAAAGTTTTAAAAAAAGAAAAATTAAAAATTAAAATTAAATTAAAAAATAAAATTAAAAAACAAAATAAAAAGCTATAAAATAGAAAAATGAAAAATGAAAATCAAATAAAAAATAAAATTAAAAAAAACAAAATAAAAATCCTAAAAATAGATAAATTGAAAATATAAATTAAATAAAAAATAAAATTAAAAAAACAAAATAAAAAGCTTTAAAAATAGAAAAATTAAAAAAATAAATTAAATAAAAAATAAATTAAAAAAATAAAATTAATTTAAAATAACTAAAAAACAAAATAAAAACTGTAAAATGTTGTAAAAGTGCCGTAAATTTGCATAAAAGGCAGTGCCGTAAAGCGCGACTGTCGTAAAACTGTCGCAAAAGGTACAGTAAAGAAAACCGTGCCGTAAAGCGCGACTGTCGTAAAAGGTGCCGTAAAGCGAGACTGTCGCAAAAGGTGCCGTAAAGCGAGACTGCCGTAAAGCGCGACTGTCGCAAAAGGTGCCGTAAAGCGCGACTGTCGCAAAAGGTACCGTAAAGCGCGACTGTCGTAAAAGGCGCCGTAAAGCGCGACTGTCGTAAAAGGTGCCGTAAAGCGCGACTGTCGCAAAAGGTGCCGTAAAGCGAGACTGTCGCAAAAGGTGCCGTAAAGCGAGACTGCCGTAAAGCGCGACTGTCGCAAAAGGTGCCGTAAAGCGCGACTGTCGCAAAAGGTGCCGTAAAGCGCGACTGTCGTAAAGCGCGACTGTCGTAAAAGGTGCCGTAAAGCGCGACTGTCGCAAAAGGTGCCGTAAAGCGCGACTGTCGTAAAAGGGGCCGTAAAGCAGAACTGTCGCAAAAGGTGTCGTAAAGCGCGACTGTCGCAAAAGGCGCCGTAAAGCGAGACTGTCGCAAAAGGGGCCGTAAAGCGCGACTGTCGCAAAAGGGGCCGTAAAGCGCGACTGTCGCAAAAGGGGCCGTAAAGCGCGACTGTTATGGAAACTGTCGTAAAGCGCGACTGTCGCAAAGAGACTCTCGGGACACAGCGGGAGCACTTTAATAGTATCTGCCACCGGGATTTGGCTGCCGCGGAGCCGGTCCCAGCTTGCTGGGCGCTGGTTGAGCTCTTTGCCACAAGGGGGCGCCCGCAGCCGCTGCCGAGCTCTGCTCCTGCCGCGACTCCGCCCCCTGCTGCCGCGAGTCTCCAGCAGGACACGCCCCCCACCTCCCCGCCGGACCGCACGGCTCCGGTACCGCAGGCTCGCCGCGGTTCGCCCTGCCGCCCCCCCCCCCGGCCCCTGCCGCACTTCCGGACCTCGCGGCCCCTCCCACCGCTCCCGCCATCCCCGCCTTTGCCATCCCGTCGGTCCCTGCTGTCCCGGCCACCGCGGCCCCGCTCCCTAATCCCGCCTCTACGAGCCCGCCCACCGGCGTCACCGCGGCCCCGCCCCCTCCTGCCCCCCGCCGCTTCCCCCCCGTTTCCCGCGAGTGCGGCCGCTCCTGCCGCCCCCCACGTCCCCCTCGCCCCCTTTGCCGACACAGCGGGGCCGGCCGTGGCCCAAGTCCCGCCGCTGCTGCGTCTTTGCCGCTCCCCGCGGCTCCCGGCTCTGCGGCGCCGAGCGCGCCTGGCGCCGCTCCAGCGCAGCCTCCCGTCAGTGCCGACCCTGCCCGCCGGGCCAGCAGCCAGCCCAGCTCCCGGCGGCTGCACGCTATGGCCCCCCCCCGCAGCCGCCTCCCGCCGCCTCCCCGCCGCTCCTCCCGCCTCCTGCCGCCTCCCCGGGATCATCTCCCGCTGACGCGGCCGCCCCGCCGCCGCCCGCGGCCGCTTCCCCGCTCCTGCCGCCGCCGCTGCATGGCGGGGCAAGCCGCGCCTTCCCCACCGCGGCCCCGCGCTTCAGAGCTGCCGGATGGCGCGGCTCCGCCCCCTCCTGCAGCCACGGGCGTCCCGGCGTTCCCTTCCACAGCCGCAGCCGCGGCCCCGTTCCCGTTCCCGCAGCTCCGCCGCCTCCCGCACCCCCCGGTCCGCGCCGCGGCAGTGACAGAACCCACGCATGCGCAGTTGCTACAAGCCCCGCACCAGCGATATCCCTCCGCGCCGACTCATCGAACCACAGCGCTGCTTCCGGGATCAGCCGCACGCATGCGCAGTTCTATCTGCACGGCCCCGCCGCCGCCCGCCGCCGCCCGCCGCCGCTTTCGCACAGCACGGTCCCGGTTCCGAGCCGCTGCGTGCCGCTGTCCGGCCACAGCCGGCATCCCTGTGCCCTGTCGCGCCGCTCCCGCCGCCACCGGGTCCGTACACGGCACCGCAGTAGGGGAAAACGGCGGCGCCGTGCACGTATCCTTCCGCGTCTCTGCCGCTGCCGGGCACCGAGCGCTCCCCCCCCCCTCCGCAGCGCGGGACCCTGCACAGCCGATACCGAAAATGCGTCCGCGTTTTCCCCTTCCACACTCCTAGCACCCAGTGGGACTGCTTTGTGTCACGATTCGTCTGCACAGCCACATCCGTGCACACAAACCGTGCGACGGGGAGGGGGGAGGCTGGAATATGACAGCTGCTTTAATAAATACAGGGCAGAGAATTATTTCGCCCCTGCAAATGCCAGTCCTTTGATCCCAACACAAAAGAATTCGAAAAAGAACTGTTCCCAAACAGCTCCAGAGTCCCCTCAGTGTTTGGGACAGATTTCTCGACCCAAAATGAGACACTAAACGCTGAAAATTTGCCAGCATTAATCCCAAATTAGAAAACTCACAAAAATCTTTTGCTAATTTTCAACTAACAGACTGGGATGAAGTCAGAGGCCAGATTTGCAAAGAAGAAAGTCTAAATCCTCTAGCTACGCCTTTAGAGCCCTCAAACCCATGGCAGCATCCCCATAAATGCAACGAACACCCTCAAAACCCTCGCAGCACCTCTTAAACCGTGTCCAAAAATCCCAAAACTGCCCCACAGTGCGTCCCAGGGCCCCCGGCCACATCCCGGTCCCTCCACAGCACTCACAGTCTGTCTCCAGTCCATCCATCCAGTGATCCCAGGGAAAATGGAGCTTTTGAGGAGAAAAGATGTCGAAATGGAGAGGAAAAAGCTTTTTTTTCCTGTTGTTTGTGTGATGGGAAAAGGCAGGAAGGGGAGAAAGGGTGGGAAACCTGAGGGGAGAAGAGGGCGGAAAACCTGAGGGGAAAATGGAGGGAAATGTGAGGGGGAAAGAGCAGGAAATGTGAGGGGAAAATGTGCAGGAAATGTGAGGGGAAAATAGGCAGGAAATGTGAGGGGAAAATGTGCAGGAAATGTGAGGGGAAAATGGGCAGGAAATGTGAGGGGAAGGTGGAGGGAAACATGAGGGGAAAAGAACAGAAAGCATGAGGAGAAATGGTGGCAAATGTGAGGGGAAAAAGGACGGGAAATGTGAGGGGAGAAAAGGGTGGAAAACCTGAGGGGAAAATGGAGGGAAATGTGAGGGGAAAATGGGCAGGAAATGTGAGGGGAAAAGGACAGGAAATGTGAGGGGAGAAAAGGGCAGAAAACCTGAGGGGGAAATGGAGGGAAATGTGAGGGGAAGATGTGCAGGAAACGTGAGGGGAAAAGAGCAGGAAATGTGAGGGGAAAATGGGCAGGAAATGTGAGGGGAAAATGGACAGGAAATGTGAGGGGAAAATGGACAGGAAATGTGAGGGGAAGATGGAGGGAAACATGAGGGAAATATGAGGGGAAAAGAACAGAAAGCATGAGGGGAAATGGTGGCAAATGTGAGGGGAAAAGAGCAGGAAATGTGAGGGGAGAAAAGAGCGAGAAGCGTGAGGGGAAAATGGGGGCAAATGTGAGGGGGAAAGGACGGGAAATGTGAGGGGAGAAAAGGGCAGAAAACCTGAGGGGAAAATCAAGGGAAACATGAGGGGAAAAGAGCGAGAAGCGTGAGGGGAAAATGGGCAGGAAATGTGAGGGGAAAAGAGCGAGAAGCGTGAGGGGAAAATGGGGGCAAATGTGAGGGGAAAAGGACGGGAAATGTGAGGGGAGAAAAGTGCGGACAACCTGAGGGGAAAATGGGCAGGAAACGTGAGGGGAAAAGAGCAGGAAATGTGAGGGGAAGATGGGCAGGAAATGTGAGGGGAAGGTGGAGGGAAACATGAGGGGAAAAGAACAGAAAGCATGAGAAGAAATGGTGGCAAATGTGAGGGGAAAAGGACGGGAAATGTGAGGGGAAAAAGGCAGGAAATGTGAGGGGAAAAGCGCAGCAAACGTGAGGGGAAATGGCTGACACTCCCTCAGCCGCCCGGTCCCTCCCTGCCGAAACCACGAACAAATTCTGCCTTTTAAATTTTTTTATTGATTTTTTTTTCCATGAAAAATACAAAGAGTCGAGTCCAGGGGTGGGGGCCGGGGGGGTCCCGGTCCCCTCCGAGGGGTCCCGCAGTGCCACAAGGGGGTCCCTGGGCACCTTTTGTCCCCGCGTTGGGCCCCCCAAAAATGGGCCGGGGCTGAGGTGGGGACCCCTTATTGCTACTGAATTGGGGGTCCCCTGGCCCCCCTCCCCAAATTCCAGGGCTGGATCCCTGGAAGAGGGGATGGAGGGGTCAGAGTTTGGGGAGGGGGGGTGGTGATGGCGGATCTGGACAACGGGGGTCGCTCCTAAATATTTATATTAATAATAATTAAAACTACAAGAAGCTTCACACAGGCACGACACAAAAAAACCAGGAGCCGGGGTGGGTTTGGGGAAGGGTGTGGGGAGAAAAAAGAGGGTCCCGGGGAGTGCCAGGATCAGGGAAAAACCAGGGAAGAATAGGAAATAAATGGGAACTAAACCACTGAAAAGTGAGAAATTATCCCGACGGCGAAGGGAAAATAAATAAGAATCGCAATAATAATAATAATAATAATAATAATAATAATAATAATAATAATAATAATAATAATAATAATAATAACATCAATAATAATTAATAAGAAGAATAATTAAGAATAATAACAATGATAAGGAGTATGGGGGAACTCAGGGTTGGGGCTTTTCAGGTGGGGTTCCGCCCTTTATTTTTTTTTTTTGGACAAGGAGGCTCCAAACTCCAGCAAGTGGAGTAATTTGGGGCAAAAATGGCCCGTTTTGGAGAATTTGGGAAGGGAGGAGGGGGAAGTGTGACAAGACACATTCCCCTCCCTCCCAGTTTCGGGGGTACCAGAGCAATCCCTGGCATTTCAGTGCCACTGGCCCCCCAAAACTTGCCTTGATCTCTCTTGGGGTTCACAAAGCTGCTTCCAAGGAACTCGGGGAGCACAAAGCAGGTTCTCAAACCCCTCTGGAAAAGGCGATTTTGGGGATTTTGGGGGATATTTCTTAATATTCTGCTATAAAAATAGATGGATTTGGGCCGGCGGCTGCCGAGGAGTCGCCGCTCCCTGCGCCAGCCACGCTCCTCCTTACCTGATAACGGGTAACAGGTCTAATGAAACACCTGATTAATCCTTACTTTTTGCTCTTCCTCCCCAAAAATTCCTCCCCCTCCCCCAGAAAATGAAGGAAAAACATGGAAAGAAGGAGAGAGCGGGAAGACGCCCCCCCCGCCCCCCTTCCCCCTTGCTGGAGTCCTGGAGTGGAGGGAAGGGGGGGGCACAGCCCCCACCTGGACACACCTGGATCAGGTGAGGGGGGGGCACCGCTCCAGGTGGTCCGGCCACTGCCGGAGTGGTGGGGTCGGGGTACCCGGGGGGGGTCCCAGGTGTGTCCACAGTGTCCTGGGGGGGCTCTCCAGGGCCCCTCCCAGTGCCCTGCAGCACCTGGAGGAGGCCTCAGGGCGCCCGTCGGGGACAGGTGAGGGTGTCCAGGTGTCCGGGCTGTGCCTCAGGTGTCCCCACGCTGTCCTCAGTGGCCATGGAGGGGCTCTCGGGGGTCTCCATGGTGTCTGTGGCGCTCATGGGGGCGTCCCCCCGTGCTCTCCAAGGTCTCCAGGTGCGTTTCTCCATCTCCTGGAGACCCAGGATGTCCTTGGTGTCCATGGAAGGGGGTGCCCAGGACCTGAATTGGGTTTCTCCGTGGTCTCCATGGCGCTCATGGGTGGACCCTGAGGTCTCCAGGATGTGTTTGGTGCTCATGGGGGGCCCTGAAGGTCCCCGAGGTCTCCATGGTGGGTTTCTCCATGGTGTCTATGGGGGGGACACTGAGGTCTCCAGGTCTTCATGTGGGTTTCTCCATGATCTCCATGGGGGTCCCCGAAGGTCCCTCAAGGTCCACAAGGTCTCCAGCTGGGTTTCTCCATGGTCTCCATGGTGCCCATGGGGGTCCCTGAAGGTCCCCGAGGTCTCCAGATGAGTTTCTCCGTGGTCTCCATGGTGCTCATGGGGGTCGCTGAAGGTCCCTGAAGGTCCCCGAGGTCTCCAGTTGGGTTTCTCCGTGGTCTCCATGGTGTCCCTGACGACCCCCAAGGTCTCCATTTGGGTTTCTCCATGGTCTCCATGGTGTCCATGGGGGTCCCTGAAGGTCCCTGAAGGTCCCCAAGGTCTCCAGCTGAGTTCCTCCATGGTGCTCATGGGGGTCCCTCAAGGTCCCTGAAGGTCCCCAAGGTCCCTGAAGGTCCCCAAGGTCTCCATTTGGGTTCCTCCATGGTGCTCATGGGGGTCCCTGAAGGTCCCCAAGGTCCCTGAAGGTCCCCAAGGTCCCTGAAGGTCCCCAAGGTCTCCATTTGGGTTCCTCCATGGTACTCATGGGGGTCCCTGAAGGTCCCCAAGGTCCCCAGGTTCTCCACCCCCCTTTCCCCACAGTTCCCACAGACGGGATCCCCAAATTCACCATCCCAATTCCACCACGGTGCTCATGGAGGGGATCCCCACATCCCCACAAGAGACCCCCACATCCCCATGGGGTGGGACGGAGCACACCAACCTCAGGCCTTGTGCTGCTTGGTGGTCTTGAAGGAGCACCCCAATTCCACCAGGGGGGATCCCCACATCCCCACAGGAGACCCCCACATCCCTATGGGGTGGGATGGAGCACACCAACCTCAGGCCTTGTGCTGCTTGGTGGTCTTGAAGGACACCTGCAGCACGCGCTCGCCCAGGCGGTAGCCGTTGAGGCTGGCGATGGCCATGGCCGCCTCCTCGTAGTTGGTCATGGTGACGAAGCCGAAGCCCTTGCACTTGTTGGTGGCGAAGTCGCGGATCACCTTGACGTTGGTGACGGCGCCGAAGGGCCCGAAGAGCTGCCACAGGACGCTCTCGTCCGCCTCGGGCGCCAGGTTGTAGACGAAGATGCACCAGCCCGGCCCCGGCGTGCCCAGGCCCACCCCGGCCAGCGCCGGCACCGCCTCGATGGCCAGCGGGGAGAACCTGGGCAGCAGCGACAGCGGGCTGGCCCGGGGTCAGCCGGGGCGCCCGGGGGCCCTCCTGGGCCGGGGAGGGTCCCCGGGGTGGGGTTTGGGGGGGTTTGGGGGGGTTTGGGGAGTGGGGAGGGGGGGGGTGTTACCTCTTCACCCCATAGGCCACGTTCAGCAAATTGTCCAGGCTGGGGGAGGACGGGGTGTTAGAGGGGACAGCGGGGGTGGCCCTGGTGACAGGGGGGGGTCTCTGTGCCCAGGAGGGTCCCACGCCCCGAGACCCCCCCTGTGGGCACTCCCAGGGTCATTGGGGTTCCTGTTCCCACCCCTCCGACCCCCCAGGACCCCCATTCCTGGGGCTATCCCCTATTTCCAGCCACTGGAAATCCATTCTGGGGGTGTCCCCAGTTCCTGGGGTGTCCCCCCATTCCCGGGGTGTCCCCCCCATTCCCAGGGATATCCCCCATTCCCAGGACCCCAATTCCTGGGGTGTCCCCTCATTCCCGGGGTATCCCCCCATTCCCAGGGTGTCCCCCCCATTTCCAGGTCCCCAATTCCTGGGGTGTCCCCTCATTCCCGGGGTGTCCCCCCCATCCCCAGGGTGTCCCCCCATTCCTGGGGTGTCTCCCCATTCCCGGGGTGTCCCCTCCATTCCTGGGGCTATCCCCTATTTCCAGCCACTGGAAATCCATTCTGGGGGTGTCCCCAATTCCTGGGGTGTCCCCCCCATTCCCAGCTCCCCAGGACCCCCATTCCCAGGGATATCCCCCATTCCCAGGCCCCCATTCCCGGTGTATTCCCCCATTCCCGGGGTGTCCCCCCATTCCCGGTGTATCCCTCCCATCCCGGTGTATCCCCCCCATTCCGGTGTATCCCTCCCATCCCCAGTGTATCCCCCCCATCCCCGGGGGTGTCTCCCCCATTCCCCGGTGTATCCCCCCCATTCCCGGGGTATCCCTCCCATCCCCGGTGTATCCCCCCATTCCCCGGTGTGTCCCCCCCAAATTCCCGGGGCTCCCGTGTCTCACCGGAAGCGCTGCGGGGGGGGGTGCAGGGCCCCGTAGCGCCGGGCCCCGGGGCACAGGCTCAGCAGGGCCCCCCCCGATTTCTGCCCGGGGCTGTTGGCGAACTTGACCGTGATGGGCTCGGCCGCGCCGAGCGGCTTCTGCCCGTGCAGGCCCCGCACGGCCTCCTCGGCCTCCACGCGCTTGTCGAAGCGGATGAAGCCCACGCCCCGGGACACACCTGCGCAGGTGAGGCGGGGGGGGCGGTCAGGGACAGCCCCCCCAAATCCTCCAGAGCACCATAGAACCCCAGAGAACCGCATAGAACCCCCAAAATCCCACAGAACCCACAGAACCTCCCCAAAACCCCACAGAACCCCACAGAACACCACAGAAGCCACAGAAGCCCCCAGAACCTCTCCAAAATCCCCCAGAACCCCACAGAACACCACAGAACCCCCAAAACCCTACAGAACCCCACAGAACCCCCCCAAAATCCCCCAGAACTGCACAGAACCTCCCCAAAACCCACAGAACCCCCACAAATCCCACAGAATCCCCTAGAATCCACAGAACCCCCCCAGCACCCCACAGAACCTCCCGAAAATCCCCCAGAACACCACAGAACCCCACAAATCCCACAGAACCCCCCAGAACCCCACAGAACCCCCCAGAACCCCACAGAACCCCCCAGAAACCCCCCAGAACCCCCCAAAACCCCCTCCCTGCCTCGCCCACCCACAGACCCCTAAAGGGATCGCTGGGTAACCCCCACAAGGGGAGCCCCAGCTCTCCAGAACCCCCAAAATTCCCCAGAATCCCCCAGAACCCCATTCCCAGGCATTTCCCACCCCCAAGAACCCTCCAGAATCCCCAGGACCCCATCCCCAGGCATTTCCCACCCCCCAAAATCCCCCAGGACCCCATTCCCAGGACTGTCCCACCTCCCTCAGGACCCCCAGGACCCCCAGGCCCCCCATCCCAGGGCTGTGCCCCCCATCCCAGGGCTGTGCCCCCCCATCCCAGGGCTGTCCCCCCATCCCAGGGCTGTCCCCCCCCCATCCCAGGTGCGTTCCAGGCCCCCCAGCCTCACCCGTGACCTGGTCCACGAGGATGCGGGAGGTGATGATGCGGCCGTACTGCGAGAAGAGCTGCTCCATCTCCTTCTGCCCCATGGCCTTGGGCAGCCCGCTCACGTACAGGTTGGCGTCGCGGATGGACGCCGAGCTGGGCCGGGCGTAGGACACCTGAGGGGACAGGTGAGGCCTCGGCACCGCCAGGGACACGGGGACCGAGCTGCACCGGGGCTCGCAGCCGTCACAGAGGGACCCATGGGTGCCCCCCACCCGCCACAGAGGGACCCACGGGTGCCCCCCACCCACCACAGAGGGACCCACGGGTGCCTCCCACCCACCACAATGGGACCCACGGGTGCCCCACCCACCACAATGGGCCCCACCCACCACAATGGGACCCACTACACCACAATGGGCCCCACGGGTGCCTCCCACCCGCCACAAAGGGACCCACTCCACCACAGAGGGACCCACGGGTGCCCCCCACCCGCCACAATGGGACCCACGGGTGCCCCCTCCACCACAAAGGGACCCACAGGTGCCTCCCACCCACCACAGAGGGACCCACGGGTGCCCCCCACCTGCCACAGAGGGACCCACGGGTGCCTCCCACCCACCACAAAGGGCCCCACTCCACCACAATGGGACCCACAGGTGCCCCCTCTACCACAAAGGGACCCACAGGTGCCCCCTCCACCACAATGGGACCCACCCACCACAATGGGACCCACAGGTGCCCCACCCACCACAATGGGCCCCACCCACCACAATGGGATCCACTCCACCACAATGGGCCCCACAGGTGCCTCCCACCCACCACAATGGGACCCACGGGTGCCTCCCACCTGCCACAAAGGGCCCCACTCCAACACAAAAGGGCCCCACAGGGTACCCCCTCCATCACAAAGGGACCCACAAGGTGCCCCACCCACCACAATGGGCCCCACAGGTGCCCCACCCACCACAATGGGCCCCACTCCACCACAATGGGCCCCACAGGTGCCCCCTCCACCACAATGGGCCCCCCTGAAGGATCCCGCATGTGCCCCCCCTACCCAGGTGCCCCCCAGGTGCCTCCCCCTCCCCAAAGCCCCCCAGGTGCCACCCCCAGGTCACCTTGATGGTCTTGGTCTGCAGCTTGAGCCCGTTGAGGGCCCCGATGGCCCTGTCGGCGTCGCCGGCCTCCACGTAGTTGACGAAGCCGTAGCCCAGGCTTTGCCCTGGGGCACGGTGTCACCGTGTCACCGTCCCCGGGGTGGCACTGCCCCCTGCGCCCCCAGAGCCACCCCCAGCCCTGTCCCCAGAGCCACCCCGCCAGCCTCGCTGTGTCCCCTGTGTCCCCATGGATGTGGCACTCGGGGTCAGAGCTGGGGGGACAGGGACACCGGGGTCATGGGGACAGTGTGGGGACAGGGACACTGGGGTCATGGGGACAGGGACACCGGGGTCATGGGGACAGTGTGGGGACAGGGACACCGGGGTCATGGGGACAGGGACACCAGGGTCATGGGGACAGGGACACCGGGGTCATGGGGACAGGGACACCGGGGTCATGGGGACAGTGTGGGACAGGGACAGGGACACCAGGGTCATGGGGACAGGGACACCGGGGTCATGGGGACAGTGTGGGGACAGGGTCATGGGGCAGGGGGGGACACCGAATTGTCCCTGCTCCCATGGTCACCATCTGTCCCTGTCCCCGCAGGTCCCCGTGTCCCCTCTCCCTTCCTGTGTCACCGTGTCCCATTTCCCTGTGTCCTGTGTCCCTTGTCCCACTGCCCATGTCCCCACGATGTTCCTTGTCCCATCTGCCCATGTCACTGTGTCCCATCTCCCACACTTCACATCCCTGTGTCCGTGTGTCCCTGTCCCTGTCCCATGTCCCCTTGTCCTGTCCCCGTGTCCCCATGCCCTGTCCCTGCCCCTGTCCCCGTGTCCCCATGCCCTGTCCCTACCCCCTGTCCCTGCCCTGCCCCGTGTCCCCGTGTCCCCATGCCCTGCCCCGTGTCCCCTCCCTGTCCCCGTGTCCCCGCCGGTACCGGTGACCTTGTCCCTGACGAGCTTGCAGGACTCGATGTCTCCGAGGCTGCCGAAGAGGCTCCTGAGCTCCTCCTGGCTCATGGACTGGGGCAGGTAATTCACGATCAGGTTCGTTTTGCTGTCGTCGGCCACGGGGGGGGGACCCCGGGGGGGCCCCGTTGGGCAGCGCCGCCGCCACCCCCGGGCCCGGCACGGCCACCACGGGCACGGGCACGGGGACGGGGACGGGGCCGCAGCCCGAGGGCCCCGCGGCGCTGGGAGCCTGCGCCTCCACCGTGCTCAGGATCTGCTGGGGGGACAGGGGGGTCACAGGGGGGCACCGGGGGGACGGGGACAGCGAGGGGATGGGGACAGGGCGGGCATGGCCAGGGGACAGAGGGATCGTGGGGACGGGGGGTGTCACAGGGGGGAACCTCGGGGACGGGGACAGGGACAGGGCACGCATGGCCAGGGGACAGGGACAGAGGGATCGTGGGGACAGGGGGTGTCACAGAGGGGGTGTCACAGGGCGCACCGAGGGGACAGGGACAGCGAGGGGATGGGGACAGGGACAGGGCATGGCCAGGGGACAGGGGACAGAAGGATCGTGGGGACAAGGGGGGCACAGGGGGTGTCACAGGGGGACACCGAGGGGACGGGGACAGGGCGGGCATGGCCACAGCCAGGGGACAGCGACAGCGGGGTGGTGGGCACGGGGAGGGAGGGGACAGGGCCAGCGGGAGGCGGGGACACGGCACGGGGGACAGTGACACCCGGGTGGGGCCATTGGTGGGGGGGGGGGGACAATCCCCCCATTGTGCGGCAGCGCCCCCGCCCCTTCCCCCCTCCCCAATAGCGCGGGGTGGGTGACAATGGCCCTTTGTCACCGGGCGATGGGGACACCCGGGGCCACCAGCCACGGCCCGGGGGCGTGGGGACAGCGACGCGCGGGGACAGCGACACGCGCGGGTGGCTTGTGCCCCCCCCCTCCCCTCCGCCCCCCAAAACCGCCGCGGTTTGGGGAGGGGTCCGCGCCCCTCCCTCGCCCGCGCGGGTCCCCGCAGGTGCCGCCACCCGCGTGTGACGCCGCGTCCCGACCGAGCGTGTGACACCTCATGGGGAGGGGGGGGACACCGAGAGGAGGAGGAGGAGGGAGCGGGGGGTGGGAATAGGGGGTGGGGGGCGCACGGGAGGGGGATGGGGAGGATGGATGGGAGATGTGGGGGGGGCAACCCCGCAATCCCCCTCCCCAAATCCCCTCCCCAAATCCCCCTCCCCAAATCCCCGTCCCTACCGTCACCATCGTGTCGCCGGTGGGGGGGCGGGGGGGCCCCGCACGGCCCCGAGGGCTCGGGGGGCCCGGGGGGGCTCCGGGGGTCGCGGCGGCGGCGGCGGCGGCTCCGGGCGCTGCGAGCGGCGGCCCCGGCTCGGTCCTTTAAACGTCCTTGGGCGGGGCGCGGGGCGGGGCCCCCCAAAAACCGCCCCCCCCCCCCCCGCTACCCCACCCCACCCCCCCCCACCGATATGGTTCAGTCCGCGCCCCCCCCCAAAATAGGTGGGTCCGACCGTCCCCCCCTTCCCAAAAGAGATGGGTCAGCCCGACCCCCCCCCCCAAAAAGGTGGTTCCGACCGCCCCCCGCACCCAAAAAAGGTGGTTCCGTCCGCGCTCCCTCCCTCCCCAAAGGTGGGTCCGACCGTCCCCCCCCTCCCCAAAGGTGGGTTCGTCCGCACCCCCCCCAAAAAGAGATGGGTCGGTCCGGCCCCCCCAAAAAAAGAACCGAGCCCCCCGAGACCCCCCGGGCCCCGCCCACGGGAGGAGGAGGAGGAGGAGGAGGAGGAGGAAGGACGGGGAGGGATGGAGAGGAGGAAGAAAGAGGGAATGGAGGAGGAGGAGGAGGAGGAAGGACGGGGAGGGATGGAGAGGAGGAAGAAAGAGGGAATGGAGGAGGAGGAGGAGGAGGAAGGAGCGGAGCAGAAAGCGCAGGAAGGGTGGGGGGGGATGGACGAGGAGGAGGAGGAGGAGGAGGAGGAGGAGGAGGAGGAGGAGGAGGGCGATGAAGGCCGCGGGCGCCGCCGCCGCCGCCGCTTCAGCACCGGGGACAGCGCCGAGCCCGAGCGCGGCTGCCCCGAGGGGCGGCGCCGCCCCCGAAATGGGGAGGGGGCAGCGCCGAGGGACCCCCCCAGACCCCCCCAGACCCTGAGGGCCCCCCCAGACCCTGAGGGACCCCCCAGACCCTGCGGGACCCCCCCAGACCCCCCGAGCCCCCCCCCCCCCCCAAAAAAAGAACCATCACAAAAATTCCCGATTTTAATGGAGTGAGGGGGGGGTCCTGGGGGGGGGGGCGGCGCAGACCCCCGGGACCCCCGACCCCTCCCCCCCCCCCAGAAACCCCCAGGTGTCGCCGGAGTGGGGGGAGAAGTGACAATAAAGGGAATAAGTAAATAAATAAATAAATAAATAAATAGATAAATAAATAAATGGTGGGGGGGGGGGCGACAGGGGGCACCTGGGGTGGTCACCTGGGGGGGGACAGGTGAGTCCAGGGGGGCCCCAGGTGGATCTGGGGGGGTCCAGGTGAGTCCAGGGGGGGCCCGGATGATTCCGGGGGGGGGTCCCAGGTGAATCCAGGTGGGCTCAGGTGAGTCCAGGGGTGTCCCAGGTGACTCCGGCTGACTCAGGGGGGGGTCCCAGGTGACTCCGGGTGACTCAGGGGGGGTCCCAGGTGACTCCGGGTGACTCCAGGGGTGTCCCAGGTGACTCAGGGGGGGTCCCAGGTGACTCCAGGTGACTCCAGGTGGCCCGGGGGGGTCCCAGGCGGCCCGGGGGGGTCCCTACGTGCCGCGGGGCTCGGGGTGCCCCTGCAGCCCCCCGTGTCTCCGCATGTGCCAGGTGAGGGAGGCGCGCTGGCGGCAGCGGAACCCGCACACCTCGCACCTGGATGGGGTCAGGTGGGGCCAGGTGAGCCCGGGGACCCCTCCCCACCCACACCTGGTGGGACCCTCACCCCCCCCCCTCACTCACTGCAGGGGCGCCTCCCCCGTGTGCGTCCTCCTGTGCAGCTCCAGGTGGCTCCTGCGCTGGAAGGACCTGGCACAGGTGGCGCAGGTGAACTCCCGCACACCTGGGGGGAACGGGGGGGCTCACCTGGGAGGGGCCGGCGGGTAACGCCCCCCGCAGGGAGCGGGGGGGGGGGGGGCACCTGGGGGGTCTCACCTGAGTGCCCGGGCCTGCGGCTCCGCAGGGGCTTGGCCAGGGGGAAGCTCCGCCCACAGCCGGGCTGGGGACACACCTGGGCACGGGGCCGGCGATGAACCTGGCGCAGGTGGGACTGGGGGGCACCGGGGGGGTCAGGGGGGGGCCGGGACAGGTGAGGGGGGGGTCTGGGACAGGTGAGGGGGGTCCGGGACAGGTGAGGGGGGTCTGGGACAGGTGAGGGGGGTCCAGGACAGGTGAGAGGGGTCTGGGACAGGTGAGGAGGGGGAGATCTGGGACAGGTGAGAGGGGTCCAGGACAGGTGAGGGGGGTCTGGGACAGGTGAGGGGGGGGGGGGGGTCCAGGACAGGTGAGGGGGGTCTGGGAGAGGTGAGGGGGGGTCCAGGACAGGTGAGGGGGGGGGGTCCGAGACAGGTGAGGAGGGTCCAGGACAGGTGAGGGGGGGTCCAGGACAGGTGAGAGGGATCCGGGACAGGTGAGGGGGGTCTGGGACAGCTGAGGGAGGGGGTCTGGGACAGGTGAGGGGGGGTCTGGGACAGGTAAAGGGGAGGGGGTCCAGGACAGGTGAGGGGGGTCTGGGACAGGTGAGGGGGGTCCGGGGGGTGTCCAGGACAGGTGAGAGGGGTCTGGGACAGGTGAGGGGGGTCTGGGACAGGTGAGGGGGGTCCGGGGGGGGTCCAGGACAGGTCAGGGGGGTCTGGGACAGGTGAGGGGGTCTGGGACAGGAGGGGGGGGGTCCAGGACAGGTAAGGAGGTGCCCCCCCCCTCCAGGTACCTGAACGCTGCTGAGGGTCCTGAACTCCTGCCCGCAGGTGGGGTGGGGGCAGCTCAGGGGCTCGGGGGGGTCCTCGGGGGGCTCTGGGGAGGGGGCTCGGCCCCTTCGGCTCCGCCGGGGCCTGCAGGGCCGGCTGTGACCCCCCCCCAGTGAAAAAGGTGGGGACAGGTGGGAGAGGAGCTCACCTGAGCCCCCCGAACCCAGAACAAACCCTCCCCTAAAAAACCTCCCCAAAACTCCCAAATCTGCCCAAATAAAGCAGTCACAGACCCCCAGAGCCCTCCCAGGGACCCCCTAAATCCCCCCTAAACCACCCCAGGGACCCCCTAAATCCCCCCTAAACCCCCCCAGGGCCTCCAGGGACCCCCCAAAGCCCCCCAGGGACCCCCTAAACCTCCCCAGGGCCTCCAGGACCCCCCTAAGACCCTCCAGGAACCCCCTAAACCTCCCCTAAAAACCTCCAGGGACCCCCCAAAGCCCTTCCAGGACCCCCTAAACCCCCCCGGGCTCCCCATAGCCCCCCCCAGGAACCCCCAGGGACCCCCTAAACCCCCCCAGTGCCCCCCAAAGCCCCCCGGGCCCCCCGACCTCTCTGGCTCTTTGGGGATCTCGTAGATGATCGCCGACCCCTCGGGCTCCTCAGCTGGGGAGGGGTCCCGGGGGGGCTCCGGAGGGGGAGGGGGGGGGCGGCTCCTCCTGCTTCAGCCTCAGCAGCGGCTCCTCCTCATCCTCCTCTGCCGTCAGTGGGGCTGCTGAGACCCCCGGGACGCCCCCAGCTCCCGCCCCGGCCCGGCTCTGGCCCCCAGACCCCCCTGAGCCCCCTGAGCCCCAACTCCTGACCCAAATCTCCACAAATTCCCCATTCCTGACCCCAAATTCCCCATTCCTGACCCCAAATCTTCCCAATCCCATTCCTCAACCCAACTCCCCCATTCCTGACCCAAACCCCCCATTCCTGACCCCAAATCTTCCCTGACCCCCCCATCCCTGACCCCAAATCTTCCCAATCCCATTCCTCAACACAACTGCCCCCATTCCTGGCCCCAAATTCCCCATTCCTGACCCCAAATCTTCCCAATCCCATTTCTCAACCCAACTCCCCCATTCCTGACCCAAACCCCCCACTCCTGACCCAAACCCCCCATTCCTGACCCCAAATCTTCCCCAATCCCATTCCTGACCCCAAATTCCCCATTCCTGACCCCAAATCTTCCCCAATCCCATTCCTCAACACAACTGCCCCCATTCCTGACCCCAAATTCACCATTCCTGACCCCAAATTTCCCATTCCTGACCCCAAACCTCCCATTCCTGACCCCAAATCTTCCCCAATCCCATTCCTGACCCAAACCCCCCGTTCCTGACCCCAAACCCCCCATTCCTGACCCAAACCCCCCACTCCTGACCCAAACCCCCCATTCCTGACCCCAAATCTTCCCCAATCCCACTCCTGACCCCAAATCCCCCATTCCCGACCCAAACCCCCCATTCCTGACCCCAAACCTTCCCCGACCCCCCCATCCCCGACCCCAAATCTTCCCCAATCCCATTCCTCAACACAACTGCCCCCATTCCTGGCCCCAAATTCCCCATTCCTGACCCCAAATCTTCCCCAATCCCACTCCTGACCCAAACCCCCCATTCCTGACCCAAACCCCCCACTCCTGACCCCAAATCTTCCCCGACCCCCCCCCCACCCCATTTCCCCCCCTCCCCCCCCCCTCACCTGTCTTGCCGGGCTGTGGCTCCTCAGGTGCGGGGGCGGGGAAGGCGCCGCCCCCCCCTCCCTGGAGCAGCACCTGGAGCGCCCCCCCCGGGCCGAGCTGGAGCCCCCCCGGGCCGAGCTGGAGCCCCCCCGGGCCCGGGCAGCCCAGCAGCAGCAGGGGCGGGGGGAGGGGCAGGCACAGCACGGCCTCCAGAGCCTCGGGGGGGGGCGGGGGGGGGTCCGGACCCCCGGGGGGCGGGGCCGGCACCGCGGGACCGCCCCCCCCCCCCGCGGCTGGAGCCGCCTCAGAGCCGGAGCTGCTGCACCCCCCCGAGGAGGAGGAGGAGGAGGAGGAGGAGGAGGAAGAGCCGGGGGCTGTGGGGAGGGGAGGGGGGGGGAGAGTCAGGGGGAGGCTCTGACCCCCCCCCGGGTGAAAAATCCCTCGGGAAACCCCAAAAATGCCATGGAGAGCCCAAAAATATCCTCGAGAGTCCAAACAGCCCAGAAAGAACTCGGGCAGACCCCCCAAAGACCCCCAGAGCCTCCTTTGTCCCCCCCCCGTGTCCCCAGGAATCCTTTCACCCCCCAAACGGTGCCCAGGTCACCCCAAATCCCCCCAGAGCCCATCCCTGCCTGTGCCCCACTCCCAGCGCCCCAAAGCCCCCAGACCCCACACACCAAAACCCCCCAAACCCCACACACAGCACCCCAGAACCCCAAACCCCACATCCCCCACACCCCAAGTCACCATGCACCCCCCAAAACCGCCAGACTCCAAACCCCACAAACTCCCCACACCCCAAACCCCCAAACTGCAAACCCCTCATCCCCCAGGCCCCAAACCCCACACACCCCAAAGCCCAAAGCCCCCACACCCCAATCCCCAAACCCCCAAAACCCCAAACCCCCAAAACCTCACACCTCACACACACCAAAACCCCAAACCCCAAACCCCAAACCTCCAAAACCCCAAACCCCAAACTCCCAAAATCCCCCACACCCCAAACCCCCAAAACCTCACACCTCACACACTCCAAACCCCAAACCCCAAACCCCAAAGCCCAAACCTCACACACCCCAAACCCCAAACCCCACACACCCCAAACCCCCAAAACCCAAACCCCCAAAACCTCACACACCCCAAATCCCCAAAACCCCAAATCCCACACATCCCAAACCCCACACAACCCAAACCGCAAACCCGCTAAACCCCAAAACCACACACCCCAAACCCCAAAGCCCCAAAACCCTACACACCCCAAACCCCAAAGCCCCCACACGCCAAACCCCCATAACCTCACACCCCAAACCCCACACACCCCAAACCCCAAACTCCCTGACCTCCCAAACCCCCAGACTCCAAACCCCCCAAACCCCCCAAACCCCCCCAAGACCCCCTGACCTCCCAAACCCCCCCGGGCCCCCCCAGCGCCCACCGTCCTCGCCCTCGGAGCCGCTGTGGGGCCGCAGGGGCGGGTGCAGGTCCTGGAAGTAGCGGTGCCCGCGCTCGCACTGCCACACGGCCGTGGTGAGCAGCCCCAGCGCCGGCTCCAGCTCCGCCAGGCGCGGCTCGTACGGGCAGCGCTGGCCGTGGTCCTCGTACCACAGCACGGCGTGCCGCAGGCAGTTCACGTTCCGCCGGCGCCCTGAGGGGTGGGGGAGCCCGGAATGAGGGGTCCAGACCCCCGAATCGGGGTGTGAACCCCCAAAGTCAGACACAGGCACCCCCAGAGCGAGGGGCAGCGCTGGGTGTACCACAGCACCAAAGCCCGAACTCCCAAAACCTCACACAGCCCAAAGCCAAGTTTGTGGAAGTTCACGTTTCATGTTCTGCCGGTGCCCTAAAGGGTGAGGGACCCCAAAATGAGGGCTCCGGACCCCCGAATCAGGGTATGAACCCCCAAAGTCAGACACAGGCACCCCCAGAGCGAGGGGCAGCGCTGGCCCTGCCACAGCACCAAAGCCCAAAACCTCACACAGCCCAAAGCCAAGCTTGTGGAAGTTCACGTTCCGCCGGCGCCCTGAGGCGTGGGGGAGCCCGGAATGAGGGGTACAGACCCCCGAATTGGGGTATGAACCCCCAAAGTCTGATACAGGCACCCTCAGAGCGAGGGGCAGCGCTGGGTGTACCACAGCACCAAAGCCCCAAAGCCTCACACAGCCCAAAGCCAAGCTTGTGGAAATTCATGTTCTGCCGGTGCCTTGAGGGGTGGGGGAGCCCGGAATGAGGGGTACAGACCCCCGAATCGGGGTGTGAACCCCCAAAGTCTGATACAGGCACCCCCAGGGCGAGGGGCAGCGCTGGATGTACCACAGCACCAAACCCCAAAGCCCCAAAACCTCACACAGCCCAAAGCCAAGCTTGTGGAAGTTCACGTTTCACGTTCTGCCGGTGCCCTAAAGGGTGGGGGACCCCGGAATGAGGGCTCCGGACCCCCGAATCGGGGTATGAACCCCCAAAGTCAGACACAGGCACCCCCAGAGCGAGGGGCAACGCTGGCCCTGCCACAGCACCAAAGCCCAAAGCCCCAAAACCTCAAGCACCCCAAAGCCAAGTTTGTGGAAGTTCATGTTTCATGTTCTGCCGGTGCCTTGAGGCGTGGGGGAGCCCGGAATGAGGGGTACAGACCCCCGAATCGGGGTGTGAACCCCCAAAGTCTGATACAGGCACCCCCAGAGGGAGGGGCAGCGCTGGGTGTACCACAGCACCAAACCCCAAAGCCCCAAAACCTCACACAGCCCAAAGCCAAGTTTGTGGAAGTTCTGCTGGTGCCCTAAAGGGTGAGGGACCCCGAAATGAGGGGTCCAGACCCCCAAAGTGGGGTCCAGGCACCCCAAAGTGAGGGGCAGAACAGCAGAGCCCCAGAGCGAGGAGCAGCGCCCTCAGAGCGAGGGGCAGAGCCCCCAGACTGGGGTAATGACCCCCAAAATGAGGGGCAGAACCCCCCAAAAATGAGGGGCAGAACCCCCCAAAATGAGGGGCAGAACCCCCCCCAAAATGAGGGGCAGAACTCCCCAAAATGAGGGGCAGGACCCCCCAAAATGAGGGGCAGAATCCCCCAAAATGAGGGGCAGAACCCCCAGACTGGAGTAATGACCCCCGAAATGAGGGCAGAACCCCCCAAAAAGTGGGGCAGAACCCCCCAGAGTAGAGTGAGGGCCCCTGGGCTTCCCCCCCAGCCCCCCAAAGATCCCCACTCACTTTTTTTGCGTTTGGGTTTTTTCGGGAGCTGCTCCCAGGGTTTGCTGCAGAGAAAGAGCGATGGGAGAAGGGGAAGGGCCCCCAGCCTTCCTCCCCAGCCTCCCTCCTCTTCCTCCTCCTCCTCAGCCCAACCCTGCTCCTTTCCACTCCCTTCCGCCTCCTTATCCAGCCCCTTGCTTCCATCCTCATCCTCATCCTCCTAGCCTTCCTCCTCCTCCTCCCTCTCCCCGTTCTTCATCCCCCAGGAGCGTGAGGAAGAGCAGGGAGAGGCAGGAGAGGAAGAGGGACGGAACAGGCGGAAGGGGACGAGGAAGAAGAGACTGAAGAAGAAGAGAGTGATGAAGAGGAAAGTGAAGAAGAGGAGAACGAGGAAAAGGAGAACGAGGAAGAGGAGCAGGGCCAAGGCCGGTAACCCGCCCAGCGCCGCTCCAGCACCGCGGACAGCTCCCGCCCGCTCCCGCCGAGCCCCGGGCCCGCTCCGCGCCCCCAGCCCCGCTTGGGGAGACCCCGACAGCGACCCCCGACCCCCCCAAACCCCTCCGGGACCCCTCTCCACCCCCCCAGCGCCCCTTCCCCCGGTTCTCCCCGGTTCCCCCCGGTTCTCCCCGGTTCCCCCCGGCTCCCCCGGCTCACCCTCGCCGCCCGTTGCGCTGGCCCCGCTCCAGCCCCAGCAGGTAGGCCGCCAGCTTGGCGTCGCTCCATCCGCTGCGGCGCCGCAGCTCCACCCAGGGCCCGTGCGCCTCGCCCAGGTACACCCGCCGCACGTCGTACTTCTTGCGCGACTCCAGGCGCCGCCGCGCGCGGTCGGTGTCGGTCAGGCGGGGCCGGCCCCGCGCTTTGCGGCCCCCGCCGGGCTCGGGGCCCGCCCCGGGACCACCGGGACCCCCCCCGGGGCCGCCGGGGCCGCGCTCGGCCGCGCTCATGCCGCGGCGCGCTGAGGTGACGTCACTGAGGCGTCGCGTCGCGCTGTGATGATGTCGCGGCGGCGTCGCGGCGCTCGGTGCGCATGCGCGGGACGCGCTCTGCCCCAGCTCCCGGGGTTTTGGGGAGGGGGCCCCGAGAAACTGACTGGGGATCCCTCAAAGGGACCGCCAGAACTCACCAGGGACCCCCCAAACTCACTGGGGACCCCCTAAAGGACCCCTGGAACTCACCGGGGACCCCCCAAGTGCCCCCCAAATTCATTGAGGACCCCCAAGACAGCCCCAAACTCACCAGGGACCCCCCCAAACTCACTGGGGACCCCCCAAGGGATCCCCAAACTCATTGGGGGACCTTCCAAACTCATCGGGGACCCCCAAGCGCTCCCCAAACTCACCCAGAACCCATTGGGTTTGGGGGGCGCGACACTGGGAACAGGAATCGACCTCTGGGCACCCCCAAATCCCCCCCTAGCACCCCAAAATCCCCTCCTGTGACCACGAGGGGCACACAAACCCCTCAAAAACCCCCCCACGACCCCTCCCCAGCACCCCCGGACCCCCAAAATCACGACACCCCTTCTCCATCACACCCCGTTTATTCCCCACTCTTTCCGGGGGTCTCTCCCCCCGGCTCCCGCCCCTCGGGGGGCTCCAGCCCCGCACCCGGGGGGCTCCCCTGGCCCAGCCGGGGTCTCGGGGGGGGTTCGGCTGCCGGGTCCGCCCCCGGTTTGAGGCGGAAGATGACGGGCGTGGATTCCAGGGCCGGGTTCTGCTCCTGCAGCGCCGCGATCCACCGGGCCAAGGAGCGGCGCTCGGCCCCGCCCGCCACGCACAGCGCCAGCACCGGGCCCTCCTCCACTGGGGGGGCACACGGGGTCAGGCGGGCGGGGGGAGACCCCGGACCCACCCCCGGACCCCTCCCCAAATCACCTCTGTCCACGTCGAAGTCGTCGTCGTCCCAGGGGCCGCGCTCCAGCTCCAGCTCCAGGTGCAGCGGGAAGTAAAAAACTGCGCTCAGGGTCCGGGGGGGGGTCCTGGGGGCAAACGGGGGGGGTTTGGGGGGACCCCAGGTGTGCCGGGTTCTGGGGGTCCTGGCCCACCTGTCCTGGCCCCACCATGACCCCCCCATGACCCTCCAGGCCTGCCAGGACCCACCCAGGACCCTCCCAGCCCCCCCACCCAAGACCCTCCAGGCCCCCCCCGAGCCCCCCTAGGGACCCCCATAATCCCCCATAACCCCTCAGGAGCCCCCCAGAAGCACCCACGACCCCCCAGGCCCCCCATAACCCCCCTATGACCCTCTCAGGACCCTCCAGGCCCCCCCCATGACCCCCCCAGGCCCCCGACTGACCCTGAGCTGGGGGGGCAGGGGGTCCCCCCGCAGCACGAAGTATTTGAGGAGGGTCCCGCGGAGCCAGAGGGGGAACGGCCCCTCCACGAACACCGGGCGGGCGGGGCCGTGCTGGGCCAGGAGCTCCCGCTGATCCTGGCTCTGACAGCCTGGGGACAATGGGGACAATGGGGACAGCCAAACCCAAACCCAGGGACACCAAACCCTTCACAGAGACCCTCAGGGACCCCAAAGCCCACCCCAGGGACCCCAAACCCCACCTCAAACCCCTCACAGGGAGCCCAAATCCCCCGAACCCAAAGCCAGCCCCTCCAGGGCACCCCAACATCCGCAGCACTCACTGAGGATGAAGGGCTGGACGGAGCCTTCATCCTCCCCTGAGTCCGGCACTGGTGCCTGTGGATGACAGCGATGGTGGCCCCGGGGTCACAGGCTATGGGCTGCAGCCCCTGTGTCCCCTCCATGTCCCCCATGTCCCTGTCACCTGGATGACACTGATGACAGCCCCAGGGTCGCAGGCCATGCGCTGCAGCCCCAGGCTCAGTGTCCCCCCCCATGTCCCCTGTGTCCCCTGTCCCTGTCACCTGGATGACACTGATGACAGCCCCAGGGTCGCAGGCCATGCGCTGCAGCCCCAGGCTCAGTGTCCCCCCCATGTCCCCTGTGTCCCCTGTCCCTGTCACCTGGATGACACTGATGACAGCCCCAGGGTCGCAGGCCATGCGCTGCAGCCCCAGGCTCAGTGTCCCCCCCATGTCCCCCATGTCCCTGTCCCTGTCACCTGGATGACACTGATGACAGCCCCGGGGTCGCAGGCCATGCGCTGCAGCCCCAGCCGTGCAGCCTCCAGGCCGGGGGGCATTGGCCGGGGGGGCTGTGGGTGGGGGTCCAGGTGCCGCAGGCGCGGCAGCCAGAACTGCATCCGCTGCAGCTTCCGCATGGGGCGGCTGCGGGGCCCGAACACCCCCAGCAGCAGGAACTGGGTCTCTGCATCTGGCATCACACCTGGGGGGACATTGGGGACAGGTTATGGATGGCAGGGACAGCCTGGGGACAGCCTGGGGACAGCAGGGACAGCAGCAGCCAGAACTGCATCCGCTGCAGCTTCCGCATGGGGCGGCTGCGGGGCCCGAACACCCCCAGCAGCAGGAACTGCGTCTCTGCGTCCGGCATCACACCTGGGGACACATTGGGGACATTGGGGACACGCTGGGGACACACTGGGGACACGAGGGATATTGGGGACGTTGAGGGACAGGTGACACAGGGAGGCACCAAGGGGCCTGGGAGGCCACGGGATGGGCACGAGGGGACACGAGGGGACATGGAGAGACGCAAGCAGTGACAACACAAGGGACACAACAGGGGGGACACCTGGGCACACCAAGCAGGGCACACGCAGCAGCACGGGCGGCTGAGGTGTCCCCTGTGTCCCAGTGCAGAGCCACCCCTTGTTCCCACGCAGAACTGTGCTGTGTCCCCAGGCAGGGCTGTCCCCTGTCCCTGCTGTCCCCAGCTGTCCCCAGCTGTCCCCCGTGCCCGTCCCCACTCACCGTAGCGCTCCATCTGCTCGAGCAGGCGCAGCCCGCACTCCTGCTGCCGGGGGAAGGGGAACAGCAGCCTCTGCACGGGGCCCCGGGGCACCCAGGCCCCGCGGGGCAGCAGCCGCAGCAAAGCGTTGTAGGCGCCCAGGCTGCGCTCGGCCCCCAGCGCGGGCAGCGCCGCCAGCGCCGCCTCCACCAGCGCCAGGCGGCCCCCGCGGCCCGGCGGGGCCCGGGACAGCTCCCGCAGCGCCGCCTCGAACGCGGCCCCGGGGTCGGTGCGGCCGCCGGTGCCGCCGGTGTCACCGTGGGTGTGCTCGTGGTGCGACCCGCGGGAGCGGAGGCGGCGCAGGGGGGGCTTGGGGGTGGCACCCCCTGAACTGTCGCCCCCCGAGGTGGCACCCTCCGAAGTGTCGCCCCCCGAAGTGTCGCCCCCCGAGGTGTCGCCCTCCGCGGGGCCGCGGCTCGGGGCTCTGCGAGGTTTTGGGGTCCCCTCGGTGTTGTCGCCATCCTCGGTGGGGACACGCGCGGGGCGCTGGCACAGGCTGCGACAGAGCTGGGGAGGGGGAGAAGGGGTCACACCACGGCTGACCCTCCGTGTGTCCCCGTGTCCCCCCGTGTGTCCTCGTGTCTCCCCCGTCCCCTCCCTCCCGGTGTCCCCCCGGTGTCCCCCGCACCTCCGGCGCTGCGGGGCCGCCCCAGAGGCGCCGGGGCAGAGCGCGGAGCCAGCCCAGCCGCATGTCGCCGCTGTCGCCGCTGTCGCGGTGTCGCCGCTGTCGCCGCTGTCGCGGTGTCGCCGCTGTCGCCGCTGTCGCGCTGTCCCCTCACGGCCGGGCCCCGCTGTCCCCACACCGGGTCGCGCCGCTGGGCGCCGCCATCTTGGCTGGATCAGTGGGCGGGGCCTTCCGGGCGCAGCCAATCGCCGCGCGGCTTTTCTCGGCGGGCGCGGTGATTGGCGGGCAGCGAGGGGCGGCGCTCGGAGGGGGTTCCCCCGTGACGTCAGAGCGGGACCCCGGGATGAGCTCAAGGACGGGGATCAGCGGTGACGTCACGGGGGGGGGTTAACGGTGACGTCAGAGCGGCGCCATCAGCCCCGGAGTGGGGGGGAGGGGTTCCCCAAATCCCGGGAGGGGGCGGGGGGGGGGTCCGGGTGTCCCCACAGCCCCGGGGGGGTCCCGGAGCCGCGGGGGGGGGCGGGGACGGCCCGGGGAGGGGAGGGGGGGGAGAGAGGAGGGGGAGGGGAGGGGAGGGGGGAGGGGAGGGGGACATTCCCCACCCGTGACGAGTCGTGCCCGCCCACCGGGGGGCGGCGGAGTCCGATCCGGTGACGGCACCGGGCGGGGGGGGCTCGAGCCGCGCTGTCCTGGGGGGGCCCCGCGGTACCGGGGGGATCCCGGGAGCGCGGGGAGGAGACCCCCGGTGGCCCGGGGGGGTCCCCAAGAACCGCGGGGGTCCCCGGTGTCCTGAGGGGGGTCCCCCGCTCCTGGGGAGCCCCGACATGACCGGGGGGGGACGCGGGAGTGCGGAGGGGGAAGGGCGGATTTAGGGCGGGGGGGGCGGTCCGGGATTCCCCCCCCCGGGATCCCCCCCCCTCCGGGATCCCCCCCGGTAAATGTGGAAAAAATGACGCCATCACCCGCCCCGCCGTGACGTCAGCGCGGCGGAGGGCGCGGATTGGCTGCGGCCGGCCCGGCCCGGGGGGGGCTCCGCGCCCACCGCCCACTTTTAAAAGTGGCGGCGGCGGCGCCGGGACGGGACCGGGAGGAACCGAGCGAGGGCACCGAGCCGAGCCCAGGGCACCGACCCCACCCGGGACAGCCCCGAACCCGCCCGGGACAGCCCCGAACCGGCGCCGCCCGCCCGCCGCGACCCCCCCGGAGCCACCGCGACCCCCGGGACCCCCCGCAATGTCCAACGCGCACTTCAACCGCGGCCCGGCCTACGGGCTCTCGGCCGAGGTGAAGAACAAGGTGAGCGGCACCGACCGGACCCAACCGGACCCGACCGAACCGGACCGGACCGGAGCGAGCCGGGGGGTCCGGGCAGGTGTCGCCCCCTGCCCCGGGGGGCGGCAGCACCGGGGCGGGCGGGGGTCGCGGCAGGACCCGGCGGGAGCGGGGGCGGGACCCGGCGCTGTCCCTGGTGCTGCCCCGGGAGGGAAGGGACGGACACCGGCACCGGGTGGCGGCACCGGCGGGGCCCCCCCGGGGGTCGCACCGGGCGCCGGTTCGCCGGGGGCGGCGGCGTTGGGAGCTCCGCAGCCCCCGGTGCCTCCAGTGAGCGGGAGGTGACGGGCAACCGGGTCCCCGGTGGGGGTCACGGAGGGGAGGGGGGCGGCACCGGGGTGCCCCCGTGAGCACCGGGGGGTCCTGGCGGCGCCGGGCCGTTAAGGGTTAACGGGGATCGGGGGTTTGTGGGGCGGGGGGCTCCCGCAGCTCCCGGTCGGTCCCGGCGGGCGGTGACCGAGCCGGAGGGGGGGCGGCGACACCGGGACCCCCCCGCGGGGCCGGGGAGGGGAGGGGGCGACACCGGAACGGAGCGGGCGGACCCCGGGACGCCCCCAGGAGCCCCCCGGCGGTGTCCGCCCCGGGAAGGGTTACGGGGGCGGTTCGGGCGGCCCCGCGGCGGGCGGGAGGCGCGGACACGGGACAAACGGCGGGGGGCGGCGGGGGCCCGGCCCGGGAAGGGTTAACGGGGGGGGCTCGGCGGCCCGGGGGGGCCCCGGCGCCCCCCGGCCCCGCCGTGAGCCTTATAAGGCGGCGGAGCGCGGCGGGCGGGCGGCGGCGGCCCCGGGCCGGGGCTATATATGGGCAAAGGTTCGGCCGGCCCGGTCTGCGCCGCGCCCGGGGGGGCCGGGGCGGGGCGGGGGGGGTCCGGGCAGCCCCGGCCTTACCGGGAACGGGGAACGGGGGAACGGGGCCAGCGGGGATCCCCCTCTGCCCTCAGGGTGTCCCCAAAGTGCCGCCCCCCGCCCTTGTGGTGTCCCCCTGCGGGTGGCACCACATCCCCGGCCAGGGTCCCCGCGGTGTCCCCAGATCATCCGTGGTGGCTTCCTGCACTGTCCCCCGTGTCCCCACATCCTCCCTGTCCCCCTGAGATTGTCCCCGGTGTCCCCAAATCCTCCCTGTCCCCTGAGATTGTCCCCAAGTCCTCCCTGTCCCCCTGAGATTGTCCCCCGTGTCCCCACATCCTCCCTGTCCCCCTGAGATTGTCCCCCGTGTCCCCAAATCCTCCGTGGCTTCCTGGCACTGTCCCCCCGTGTCCCCCCCGTCTCCATGGGGGTGTCCCCCACATTCTCCGTGCCACTACGTCCCCTGGCAGTGTCACCGTGCTGCCCTGATGCTGTCCCCGTGTCCCCTGGTGGTGTCCCCGTGTCTCCACATCCCCGATGTCCCCCTGTCCCCTGACACTGTTCCCCATGTCCCTCGATGTCCTCGTGTCCCCCTGTCCCTCTAACACTGTCCCCTGTCCCCATGTCCCCCTGTCCCTCTGACTCTGTCCCCCTGTCCCCCTGTCCCTCTGACTGTCCCCCAATGTCCCCCTGTCCCCGTGTCCCCCTGTCCCCGATGTCCCCGTGTCCCCCTGTCCCTCTGACTGTCCCCCGATGTCCCCGTGTCCCGCTGTCCCTCTGACTGTCCCCGATGTCCCCGTGTCCCCCAGCTGGCTCAGAAGTACGACCCCCAGCACGAGCGGGAGCTCCGTGCCTGGATCGAGGGCACCACGGGGCGCCGGATCGGGGACAACTTCATGGACGGGCTCAAGGACGGCGTCATCCTCTGCGAGTACGGCCCGGGGACCCCCCCAGAACCCCCCTGGGACCCCCAGAACCCCCCCGGGACCCCCGAAACACCCGGGACCCCCCCGGGACCCCCGAAAACACCCGGACCCCCCCCTGGGACCCCCAAAACACCCGGGACACCCCCTGGGACCCCCGCTCTGTCCCCAGCCCTGTCCCCTCCTGTGCCCCCGGCCCAGCCTGGGAGGATCCTCCGGGAATTTTAACCCATCCCTCACCTGGGCTGACCCCTGACCTTTGACCCCTGACCCTAGGGTCACCGCTGTGGGTGGGGGTGACCCCCCTGTGTTGTCTCACCTGTGCTGACCCCACCTGTGCTGTCCCCCCCCCCTCCAGGCTCATTAACAAACTGCAGCCGGGCTCGGTGCCCAAGGTGAACGAACCCGTCCAGAACTGGCACAAGGTGAGGGGAGACCCCAAAGCTGGGCTGTGGGACAGGGTCCCCAAAATCTGGGGCAGGGTCTGGGAGGGTTCTGACCCCAAACCCGGGGCCTGGGGGGCTCCTGACCCCAAAACTGGATCTGGGGCAGGTTCCCCAGAATTTGGGGCCGATCTGGGGAAGTTCTGACCCCAAACCCGGGGCCTGGGGGGGCTCCTGACCCCAAACCCGACCCCAAATCCCCCCCCCCCCCCCCGAGAGCAGCTGGAGAACCATCGGGAACTTCCTGAGGGCCATCACACGCTATGGGGTGAAGCCCCACGACATCTTCGAGGCCAACGACCTCTTCGAGAACACCAACCACACCCAGGTGCAGTCCTACGCTCATCGCCCTCGCCCAGCCAGGTGAGACCATGGGGGGGGTCAGGAGCCTCAGGAGCCCCAGGTGAGAGACCATGGGGGGGACCTGGGGGGGCCTGGGAGGGTCTTGAGGGGTCTGGGGGGTCCTGGGGGGCTCCAGAAGGTCCCAGAACCCCTTGGAGGGCACTGGAATGGGCTGTGGGGGGATCCAGAGGGGGGATTTGGGGTCTGGGGAAGGGATTTGGGGTCTGGGGGAGGGATTTGGGGTCTGGGGAGGGTATTTGGGGTCTGGGGAGGGTATTTGGGGAGGGTATTTGGGATCTGGGGCGGGTATTTGGGGTCTGGGGAGGGTATTTGGGGTCTGGGGCAGGAATTCGGGATCTGGGGCGGGTATTTGGGGTCTGGGGAGGGTATTTGAGGTCTGGGTTGGGGATCTGGGGTCTGGGGAAGGGATTTGGGGTCTGGGGGAAGGGATTCGGGATCTGGGGAAGGGATTTGGGGTCTGGGTCAGGAATTTGGGGTCTGGGTCAGGAATTTGGGATCTGGGGAAGGGATTTAGGGTCTGGGGAGGGGATTTGGGGTCCTGGGGAGGGTATTTTGGGATCTGGGGCGGGTATTTGGGGTCTGGGGAGGGTATTTGGGGTCTGGGGAGGGTATTTGGGGTCTGGGGCAGGGATTTGGGGTCTGGGTCAGGAATTTGGGTCTGGGTCAGGAATTTGGGATCTGGGGAAGGGATTTGGGTCTGGGGCGGGTATTTGGGATCTGGGGCGGGTATTTGGGGTCTGGGGAGGGTATTTGGGGTCTGGGGCAGGGATTTGGGGTCTGGGTCAGGAATTTGGGGTCTGGGTCAGGAATTTGGGATCTGGGGAAGGGATTTGGGGTCTGGGGAAGGGATTTGGGGTCTGGGTCAGGAATTTGGGGTCTGGGGGTCCCCGTGAGCCCCCCCAGCGCCCCCGGATCTCCTCCAGGCCAAGACAAAGGGGAACAACGTGGGGCTGGGGGTGAAATACGCCGAGAAGCAGCAGCGGCGCTTCCAGCCCGAGAAGCTGCGCGAGGGCAGGAACATCATCGGGCTCCAGGTGACACCGGGGACACCCTGGGGACACCCTGGGGACACCCTGGGGACAGCGGGGGTGGCCCGGGACAGCGGGTGACGCTGCGGCTCCGTCCCCGCAGATGGGCACCAACAAGTTCGCCAGCCAGCAGGGCATGACGGCGTACGGGACACGGCGACACCTGTACGACCCCAAACTGGGCACGGACCAGCCCCTGGACCAGGGCCACCATCAGCCTCCAGATGGGCACCAACAAGGGCGCCAGCCAGGTGGGGACACCGGGGACACGGGGACAGTGGGGACACAGGGAGGGATGGCACATGGGGACACGGATGTCCCAGATTAGGGGGACAAACGGCCCGAAGGGGACAAAGAGGGGGGACAAAGAGGGGAGAGTGAGAGGACAGAGAGGGGACGGAAAGGGGACAATGAGAGATGGAAAAGGGGACAGAGAAGGGACAATGAGAGATGGAAAAGGGACAGAGAGGGGACAATGAGGGAAAGGAGAGGGGACAATAAGAGGATGAAGAGGGGACAATGAGGGGACAATGAGGGGGACAAAGGGGGGTGGAGAGAGGAGAATGAGGGGAGAATTAGGGGAAAATGAGGGGACGGAGAGGGGACGATGAGACGGGACAGAGAGGAAGGGACAGAGAGGGGACAAAGGGGGGACGGAGAGAGGGGAATGAGGGGACAATGAGATGGGACAGAGAGGGGACAGAGAGGGGATGGACAGAAGGGAATGAGGGGACAATGAGACGGGACAGAGAGGGGACAATGAGGGAACGGGAAAACGGAAGGAGTGGGGATAGAGAGGGGACAGAGAGGGGAACACGGAGAGGGGACAGAGAGGAAGGGACAGAGAGGGGACAATGAGGGAACGGAAAGGGAAGGAGTGGGGATGGAGAGGGGACAGAGAGGGGAACACGGAGAGGGGACAGAGGGGACAGAGAGGGGGCAATGAGGGAAAGGAGAGGGGACAATAAGAGGATGAAGAGGGGACAATGAGGGGAGATGGGACAGAGAGGGGAACACAGAGAGGGGACAGAGAGGGGACAGAGGGGACAGAGAGGGGACAATGAGGGAACGGGAAAGGGAAGGAGTGGGGATGGAGAGGGGACAATGAGGGGACAGAGAGGGGAACACGGAGAGGGGACAGAGGGGACAGAGAGGGGCCAAACACCCCGCGGGCAGCACCCCAAGCCCCCCATCGCCCCCCACCCCTCCGCTGGGCGCCCCCGGTGGTGCCGCCCTGACGGTGGCCGGTGCCCAGGCGGGGATGACGGCGCCGGGCACCAAGCGGCAGATCTTCGAGCCGGCGCTGGGCATGGAGCACTGCGACACCATGACCATCGGGCTGCAGATGGGCAGCAACAAGGGCGCCTCGCAGACCGGCATGACGGTGTACGGGCTGCCGCGCCAGGTCTACGACCCCAAGTACTGCGGGGGCCCCGAGCTGCTCGGCCTCGACGGCTGCGACGGCCACGGGGGCCTCTACAACTCGCAGTAGCCGCGGGCGCCGCCGCCGCTTGCACCGCGACACCGCTGACACCGGCAGCACCGCGCCCGCCGAGCCCGAACCGGGGCTGGAACCGGGGCTGGAACCGGCACCGGGACCGCCGAGCCCCGCCGGGCCAGAACCGGGGCTGGAACCGGCACCGGGACCGCCGAGCCCCGCCGGGCCAGAACCGGGGCTGGAACCGGCACCGGGATCGTTCCTGGGGGGAACCAGCACCGGGAATTGGCCCCAGGGCAGGGAACGATCACGGGACCGGCCCCGGGGGGAATCGGCACCGGGGATTGGCCCTGGGGGGTTCAGTCCCGGTATCAATCCCGGGATCAGCTCCACGATCAGCCCCGGGATGGCCCCGGCAACGGCCCCGGGGGGGTTCAGTGTTAGGATCGGTCCCCGGGATTGGTCCCGGGTTCAGTCCCGAGTTCAGTCCCGGGTTCAGTCCCGCCATCAGCCCCAGGAACGGCTCGGTATCGGCCCCGGCGGGTTCAGTCCCGGGGGGTTTGGTCCTGGTATCAGCCCCGGTATCAGCCCCGGTATCGGTCCCGGTATCGGCCCCGGTATCAGCCCCGGTATCGGCCCCGGTATCAGTCCTGGTATCGGTCCCGGTATCGGTCCCGGTATCGGCCCCGGGGGGCTCGGCCCCCGCCACGTGTGAAGCCACCGAGGCACAATAAAAGCCACACGCAGAGGTGACAGCGCTGGGAGAGAGTGAGGGGACAGGGAGGGGGGACACCGAGGGGACAATGGCGGGGACGAGGGACACCAGGGCCACCATCTCGGCCGTTTATTGCCGCGCTGCTCTCCCCAAACCGGCATCCCTGAGGGGACAGGGACGAGTCACAGGGGCCAGGGGGGGAAATGTCACCCCCAGAGCGGGGCTGGGGCTGTCACCGAGCTCCGGGGGTGGCACCGGGCCCGGGGGTGTCGTGACCGCGCCGGGGTTTGGGGACGGGGCCGTGTCCCCCTCCTCTGCCGGTGTCCCCCCGGTGTCACTGGTTGGCCGCCTCGCAGGCGTCGATCCAGTCGCTGTAAACGTCCACGGGCTCCGACAGGTCTGGGGGCGCCGTTAAGGCTCCATCACGGATTTGGGGGGGTCCCGGGGGGGGTCACGGGGGCTCCCGGTAAGGATACAGGTGATGGGGTCTGGAACTCCTCCAGGCACACGGTGCACGAGATCACCCCGGTGTTCCGGGCGCGGTCCCTGCGGGGCACGAGGGGGTCGTGACCACTCCGGGCTCCGTCCCGAACCCCTCCCGGGCTCACCCGGTGCCCCCGTTTCTCCCCCCCCCGGTACCGGCAGCCCCCGGTGCCCCGTGTCCCCGTCCATGTCCCCCCTCTCCGCTTCCCCCCCCGCGTTCCTCCGTCGCCGTTTCCGCGCTGCCGCCCCACCCCCGTGCCCCGTCCCCGGTGTCCCCCCGGTTCCCGGTGTCCCCCCGGTGTCCCCGCTCACATCTTGACGTCGCAGGACTTCTCGTGGTTGCAGAACGGACACGTGAACTGAGTCTCCAGCGTCCCGGTCATCTTCTTCTTGGGCGGCGGCTTCCGCTTCGACTTGCGGCGGCCCATGGCGGCCGCACCGGGGCCCAGAACCGGGAACGGCCGCGAGAACGGGAACGACACCGGGATCGGCCCCGGGAGCCGCCTGGGAGTGCCCCGAGGCGCTGCGGGACGTGCCGGGGGCGGCTCGGCCCCGCCGGACCCCTCGGGCCCTCCCGGTTCCCCCGGTTCTCCCCGGTACCTCCCGGTTCCTCCGCCGCGCTCTCGCCGCGTTCCCGGAAGTGCCGCCCCTCCGCACTCAGCCAATCAGCGGCGGGAACAGCCCCACGTGACCCAAGTCTGCCCGCTCATTGGTTGAAGGGCGCAGCCCCCCCAGCCAATCACCAGCGGGGAGCCGAGCGGCGCGCGCGCGGTCCCGCCCATCAGACGGACGCGCGGCGCAGCCAATCAGCGGCGCGGGGGGCGTGGCAGGTGCGGCCAGGCTCCGCCCCCCATCACCCGCGCGGTTTTTGGGGCGAATCGCGGCGGGTTCGGGTCCGTTCAAAGCCTTTATTGGGGGGGGGGGGGCAGCGTTCCCCGGGTCAGGGTCCCCAAGGGCCAGGGGTCAGTGTCCGGTCCCCAGTGTCCCCCCGTGTCAGAGATCAGCGTCCCCAAGGGGTCAGGGGTCAGTGTCCACAGTGTCCCTGCTCTCCCGGTGTCCCCTCTGTTCCCTCATCCCCGCTGTTCCCGCTGTCCCGGTGTCCCCAGTTTCCCGCTGTCCCGGTGTCCCGCTGTCCCCGGTGTCCCCGGTGTCCCGGTCAGAGGCGCGGCGGCAGCGTCACGCGGTGCAGGACGCGCCCGGTGCTCTCCAGGAAGGTCACGGTGGCCCCGTGGGGCTCCAGGCGCACGTGGGCGAAGCCGCCGGGGCTCTCGGGGCTCCCGAAGAAGAACCGGAGCGCCCGGGCGGCACCGAGCGCTCGTGCGGACCGCGACTCCTCCATGAAGTTCCCGGCGCCGCTCAGGACGTAGGAGACGCCGCCCTCCTCCAGGTACTGCGGGGAAAGGGTGGGGTCAGGGGGAGGGACACACCTGGGGACATTGGGGATACACCTGGGGACACACCTGGGGCTGACAGACCTGGGGGACACACCTGGGGACACACCTGGGGCTGTCTCACCTGTCCATCCCTCACCTGTCCCTGTCCCCCCTGTCCCCGTCCCACCTGCCCACCCCTCACCTGCAGGTTGTGGTCGTGCCCGCACAGGTAGGCGCTGACGCAGGGGTTGTGCCCATGTTCCCCTGTCCCTGTCACACCTGTCCCTGTCCCCCTGTCCCACCTGCCTGTCCCTCACCTGCAGGTTGTGGTCGTGCCCCACAGGTAGGGCGCTGGCGCAGGGGTTGTGCCCATGTTCCCCTGTCCCTGTCACACCTGTCCCTGTCCCCCCTGTCCCACCTGCCTGTCCCTCACCTGCAGGTTGTGGTCGTGCCCCACAGGTAGGCGCTGGCGCAGGGGTTGTGCCCGTGTCCCCCTGTCCCTGTCCCCCCTGTCCCTGTCTCACCTGTCCCTGTCTCACCTGTCCCTGTCTCACCTGTCCCCCCTGTCCCACCTGCCCATCCCTCACCTGCAGGTTGTGGTCGTGCCCGCACAGGTAGGCGCTGACGCGGGGGTTGTGCCCGTGTTCCCCTGTCCCTGTCACACCTGTCCCTGTCTCACCTGTCCCTGTCCCCCCTGTCCCACCTGTCCCTGTCCCCCCGTCACACCTGTCCCCATCTCACCTGCAGGTTGTGGTCGTGCCTGCACAGGTAGGCGCTGACGCAGGGGTTGTGCCCATGTTCCCACTGTCCCTGTCCCACCTGTCCCTGTCCCCCCTGTCCCACCTGCCCATCCCTCACCTGCAGGTTGTGGTCGTGCCCGCACAGGTAGGCGCTGACGCGGTGCCGCCGCAGCAGCGGCCGCAGCAGCCGCACCAGGCAGGCCGTGGGGCCGTGCTTGGCCACCGACCACACCGGGTAGTGCCCGGCCACCAGCACGAAGGCGTCGCCCGCCGCCGCCTCCAGCTGCGCCCGCAGCCAGCCCAGGTGCGCCGCCGCCGCCGCCGCGTCCCGGGGCCCCGCGGGGCCGGGGCCGGAGCCGGGGCCGGAGCCGAAATCGTCGCTGTGGCCGCAGAGCAGAACCGAGTCCAGCACCAGCAGCCGCGCCGAGACGTTGAGCCCGGCAGGTGCAGGCGCAGGCTGTAGTACGGGTGGGAAAGCGCCTGCGGGGACACCAGGGGACACTTGGGGACACTTGGGGACACCTGGGGACACCAGGGGACACCTCGGGACAGCCTGGCATGGGCGCAGGGCAGGGGAAGGGGCTGTGGGGCGTGGGGACACCATGGGGACAGTGCAGAGACAGCCCGGCAGGTGCAGGCTGTAGTACGGGTGGGGAAAGTGCCTGGGGGGACACCTGGGGACACTTGGGGACAGTGTGGGGACACCCCAGCAGCAGGCACAGGGTGTGGTAGGGCTGGGGAAAGCTCCTGCGAGATGTGAGGGCACTTGGGGACACTTGGGGACACTTGGGGACATGCAGGGACATGCGGGGACACTTGGGGACATGCAGGGACATGCGGGGACGTGCCAAGCAGAGCTGGGGACACCCTGCAGGGGCTTAGGGACAGGCTGGGGACAGCCAGAGGGGACTTGAGGACACCATGGGGACATCCCCAGGGATGGATGGAGGGGAGACATTGTAGGGGCGCCCCGAGGGGACTTGGGGACACTTGGGGGCACTTGGGGACAGTCAGGGACCCTCGGGGATACTCAGGGACCCTCTGGAACCTTTGGGGACACTCAGGAACCCTCGGGGACACTCGAGGGAACTCAAGGGCCCTTGGGGACACTCAGGGATTCTCGGGAACCTTTGGGGACACTCAGGAACCCTTGGGGACACTCTGGAACCCTCGGGAACCTTTGGGGACACTCAGGGACCCTTAGGTACACTCAGGGACCCTTGGGGACACTCGGGGACTCTCAGGGACATTTGGGGACCCTTGGGGACCCTCGAGGACATTTGGGGACCCTCGGTGCCCCGGCGGCTGGGCCGTACCAGCGCGGGGAGTGGCGGCTGTAGCGCAGCTGCGCGGTGACGTTGCCGGCGTGGTCGTGGTTCCCGGCCATGACGAACCAGGGGACGCCGCGGAGCCCCGGGGACACGAACACGCGCTCGAAGGTGTCCTGGGGACAGTGGGGACACAGTGGGGACATTGGGGACAAAGGGGACACTGCAGAGCCCCGGGGACACGAACACGCGCTCGAAGGTGTCCTGGGGACAACGGGGACAGTGGGGACATTGGGGACACTGCAGAGCCCCGGGGACACGAACACGCGCTCGAAGGTGTCCTGGGGACAACGGGGACATGGGGACACCGTGGGGACAATGGGGACACCACAGGGACATGGAGGGACAATGGGGACACTGGGGACACCACAGGGACACAGTGAGGACTTTGGGGACACCACAGGGACAATGGGGACACCGTGAGGACAATGAGGACACCACAGGAACATGGAGGGACAATGGGGACACCACGGGGACACCGTGAGGACAATGGGGACACCACAGGGACAATGGGGACACCGTGAGGACAATGAGGACACCACAGGAACATGGAGGGACAATGGGGACACTGGGGACACCATGGGGACACCATGAGGACATTGGGGACACCCCAGGGACAATGGGGACACCATGGGGGTACCATGGGGACACCATGGGGACAATGGGGGACACCAGAGGGACATGGAGGGACCATGGGGGACACGGGGGACACACGGGGACACCGTGAGGACATTGGGGACACCCCAGGGACAATGGGGGTACCATGGGGACACCATGGGGACAAGGGGGATATCATGGGGACACTGGGGACACCGCGGGGACACCGGGGGTACCATGGGGACACCATGGGGATATCATGGGGACGCTGGGGACACCGCGGGGACACCGGGGGTACCATGGGGACACCATGGGGATATCATGGGGACACTGGGGACACGGCGGGGGACGCCGGGCGTACCTGGAATCGCGGGTCCCACTCGTCCTTGACCCCCTCGTAGTAGAAGTTGTCCCCCAGGGCCAGCACGAAGTCCCCGCCGAGCTCGGCGGCCGCCCGGCCCATGGCCGCCGCCGTGGCCACCTGGCGGGGGGTGACAAAGGGGGGCTCGGGCAGCCCCCCCCAGTCCCCCAGGGCCAGGAAGGACAGAGCCCCCCCCGGGGCGCCCCCCCCGGGGGCCACCAGCGACAGGGACAGGGACAGGGACAGGGACAGGGACAGGGACAGGGGCAGCGAGAGCCACGGCGGTGCCAGCATCTGCAGGGACACAGGGGGACACTGAGGGTGGCACCGGGGGTCTGGGGTGTCACAACCCCTGCCAGTGTCACCCAAGGGTCTGGGGGTGCCACAGGAAGGACCGGGGTGTCCCTGTCCCCCCCCCAGTGTCACCCAAGGGTCTGGGGGTGTCCCTGTCCCTCCCCAGTGTCACAGGAGGGTCTGGGGGTGTCCCTGTCCCCCCCCAGTGTCACCCGAGGGTCTGGGGGTGTCCCTGTCCCCTCCACGTGTCCGGGGGGGGGGTCAGCAGTGCCACCCCCCCTCCCCCGGGGGTCGCTCACCGTCCCGGCCGGCGCTGTCCCCTCGCTGTCCCCTCGCTGTCCCCTCGCTGTCCCCTCTGTCCCCCCCTCCGTGTCCCTTTATGGCCCCAAAAGGGGAAGCGGGGTCGCCTCCCCCGCCACCCCCCGCCCCCGGTCCCGCTGTCACCTGACGGCCCCTGGGGACACTGGGAGAGGGGGGGGGAACTGGGAGGGAACTGGGAGGGAACTGGGAGCACTGGGAGAGAGGGGGGAGGGACAGAGGGACACTGGGAGCACTGGGACAGGGACAGAGGGACACTGGGACAGAGACAGAGGGTCACTGGGAACACTGGGACAGGGACAGACGGACACTGGAACACTGGGACAGGGACAGAGGGACAGACGGACACTGGGACAGGGACAGACGGACACTGGGAGCACTGGGACGGGGACAGAGGGACACTGGGACAGGGACAGAGGGACACTGGGAGCACTGGGACAGGGACAGACGGACACTGGGAACACTGGGACAGGGACAGACGGACACTGGGAGCACTGGACGGGGACAGAGGGACAGACGGACACTGGGACAGGGACAGAGGGACACTGGGAAC